CAGCACTTGCCTCTACCGCACTGTGGAGGCTACCTGGGGGAGGTTTGTCTGTGTCTGAGCGTGCGAGCTGCGTACAGCACAGAGGCGGTGACCTTCCATCGTCATTGGGAGCCTGCGAGAGGGAGTGTGTGTGTCACTGTGTGTGTGTCACTGTGTGTTTGTGTGTGTCAGTGTTTGTGTGTCAGTGTGTGTCAGTGTTTGTGTGTGTCAGTGTTTGTGTGTGTCAGTGTTTTCGTGTGTCAGTGTGTGTGTCTTTTGTCTCTGTGTGTCAGTGTGTGTGTGTGGCTTTTGCCTGTGTGTGTCAGTGTGTGTGTGTGTCTGTGAGTGGGGAGTGGTAGTGTAGCGGTGAGCGCGATGCGCTATAAGTCCGGCAACCCGGGTTCGATACCCGATCATGGCCAACACCACCATTGACGATTATCTGAACCGGGCCTCCCCTCGGTCGGCTCAGCCTCAAAATGAGTACCTGGTGCGGTGTGTAAACATCGCCACTGGGGAGACAAAGGCGGTCGGGCGTGGTGTTGGCCACCCACCCCCTCGTGTACTGTTCCGGCCTTCATAGGTGCTCACTAATAGCACTTGCCGCCACAGTATGTTAAGGCTATACGGGGGATCTTTGTCAGTGTGTGTGTCAGTGTGTGTGTCAGTGTGGGTGTCAGTGAGTGTGTGTATATGTGTGTGAGCTTATGTGTGAGTGTGACTGTGGGTGCCAGTGTGTCTGTGTGTGTGTCTGTGTTTCAGGAAAGGGCGGTCCTGCACGGATGCCATGTTTTCTGTCCGTCTGCTACAGCAGAGGTGGAGGGAATTCCAACAAGACCTACATCTCTGCTTTATTGACCTGGTCAAGGCCTATGATACCATCAGTAGGCCTGGGCTCTGGGTTGTTCTTAGTGCTTTCGGAGTCCTTGACCCTCTGCTCACGATCATTAAGGACCTTCATGATGGTGAGTGGGCCCGAGTAAAACTACGTGGCCGGGAGTCGGAGCCATTCCCTATACACCTTGGGGTGCAACAGGGATGACCTCTGGCTCCAACATTATTTAACATCTATTTTCACCACGTAGTTCGTGAGACCTTCAATAACTGTACCGGAGGAATTTCCATCTAGTACAGATATAATGGGAGGCTGATCGATGCCCGGATGCGGTCAAGAAATGGCTCCCTATTGCTCAACCATGTTATGTATTTCGATTTAAAGCTTTCGTGACTGCAGGGATTCATCTTCTTGTTTCTTTCGGTAAAGTCACGTAGAAGGGAAGTAATAAAATAATTATTTTATTACTTCCCTTCTACGTGACTTTACCGAAAGAAACAAGAACATGTTATGTATGCCGATAAATCTGATGATTGCTGCTCACTCAGAGGAGGAGTTGGAGGCGCTGCTGCTAAACCTGAAGCTTGCTACAAGGAGGTGGGCCTTACCATCAGCCCCACCAAAACTAAGCACCTGCTAGGGTATTTTGTACCATCGGACACTCCATCCCCACAACTCCCAATCGGTGATGGGGCATTTGTGGAGGGAGTGGAGAGTTTCCCATACCTTGGCAGTATGCTCATGACCGGCTCTGGTTTAACAGCAGAGGTCTCACTCCGAATCAGTCTAGCGGCAATATCTTTTCATCGGTTGCGTCACGCTGTGTGGAAGCTACCTGGTCTGTCGCTCCGCACGATGCTTCGGGTCTTCTCGGCCATAGTCATTCCCTCCCTTCTCTACACTTGCGAAACGTGGACCCCCAGAATGGAACATCTTCGCCGGTTAGAAACATTTAGGCTGGCCTGCCTACGATCCATGCTGGGTTTAACCAGGCTGGGTTGTGTAAGGAGCTCACACATCCTTGAAAGATCTGGACAAAGTCCCATCGGTGAGCTCCTCCGGCAGGCAAGGCTGCGTTGGCTGGGCCATGTAGCCCGCATGCCAAGCCACCGCATGCCTAAACAGCTTTTGTTCGGCCAGATCGAGGGGGCTAAACGGGCGCGGCACGGGCTAGAGAAGAGATGGAATGATGTGGTACAGGAGGATGTGGGACTGAGTGGACTTGCCAATGACTGGTGCCAGCGGTTTCAAGATCGGCCTCTGTGGAGGAGGCTCGTGAAGGACGCTGCTGGGCAGTTGGAGGCAGTCGCCCTCCAACAACAACGGAGGGCGGAGGAGCGACGCTCACAACAACGAGCGGAGCGCCGGGTGGTTAAAGCACAGCAAGTTGGCACAGTAGGGGGCACAGGTGGTGCATCAGCCACTCATCTCAGTCAGTCGATCCGTGGCACTTGGGTCTGCCCCGTGACCTCCTGCCAGCGGGCGTTCGACACTTCACGTGGCCTCAAGGTGCACATAGCCTGGCATAAGCGTCGTGGTGACGTCACCGCCACTTAGTGGCGAATGTCGGTTGTTGTTGTTGTCAGTAGTAGTGCAGCTACTAACCCGGCGACCCGAGTTCGATTCCCGCTGACGGCCATAACCACCAGTCACGATTATCTGAACCGGTCCTGGGCCTCCCCTAGGTCTACTCAGCCTCAAATAAGTACCTGGTGCGGTGTATAGTAAACATCGCCACTGGGGAGACAACGGCGGACGGGCGTAGTGCTGGCCACCCTCCCCCTCGTGCGCCACAGTGCCGACCTTCATAAGCGCTACTAATCGCTACTAACAGCACTTGCCCCAACAGTCCGTTAATGCTACACGGGGGATCTTTGTATTTCTGCGAGTGAAAATTGGTGATGCTGTAGCTGCTGCTTTTAATGATGATGCTGCTGATGATGCTCATGATGCTACCGCTGACGATTCTGCTGATGATGATGCTGATGATGTTGGTGATGCTCAGGATTCTGCTGATGCTGCTGTTGTTGATGATAATGCTGCTGATGATGCTGATAATTATACTGCTGCTGATGATACTGCTGCTGATGATGATACTGCTGCTGATTATGCTGCTGATGATACTGCTGATGTCGCTGATGATGATACTGCTGCTGCTGTTGATGATGCTGCTGATGCTGATACTGCGGCTGATGGTACTGCTGCTGATGACACTGCTGCTGATGCTGCTGTTGATGATGCCAGATCCACGTGCCCCCACTCTAAGCCGCTTTTGTGGAGCTTATAATGCGTGACAGGGGCCAGGGTAGCTTCTGAAACGATAAATAATAGTAGTAAAGTGAATCACCTCAGGCGAATGATTAGTTTTTTTAATCATTTTGTGATAATTATTTTATTATATTTTGAAGTATTGTTTAATATTTTGTAACATTTTTAAATTTTTGATACATTAGGCAATTTTTTTATAGCATTTTTATTTATTAAGTTTGAAAAATATATTTTTTGACAATTTTTCGATTTGTTTGATACATTATTATTTATTTGTTTTATTATTTTGTGACAAAAAAAATAAAATTGTATTACTGTTTTTTTAATTATTTTCATAACATTTATTATACATTTTAAAACATCTTTTGACTATTTAAAAAAATATTTGTTTTTACTATTTTTTTATCTTGTGATTATTTTTTGACTATTTTGTGATTATTTTTTATTATTTTGTGATTATTTTTTTGATTATTTGTGCGTGAAAATTTGTCGTGAGCGATTTTGCTCCTGATTTTCTTTTTACCTTTGTTCGGGTGTGTTTTGTGAATTGTGTTTGTGTATTGTGTTGTGTATTTTCTGTATTGTTTGTGTATTGTCTGTGTATTGTATTGTGCGTTATATTACATTGTGCATTGTGTTTGTGTACTGTGTATTGTGTAGTGCGTATTGTGTTGTGTATTGTGTGCATTGTGCTTGTGTAGTGTGTATTGTGTAGTGTGTATTGTTTGTGTATGGTTTGTGTATTGTTGTGTTTGTGTTGTAACGTTCTTGGACCAGTCCGCGCACGCTACAAAGAGCTTTACAAATAATCGGATTTCCCCTGCTGCGATATAAACAAATATCCCGATAATAGTAAAATAATAATGTATATGTTATTATAATATAAATAACATAAAAATCACCTGACTCCCGCCATATTTCGGAATATTTATTTTATACTGTAGGTGAGCAATCCGATGATCTGTAAAGCTCTTCACTCACAGATGTCCAGTTAGTCGACCTCGGCGTTGTCCACGCAAGCTCCCCGCTAATCCATATGGCGGGGGGTCAGGATGGGGGAGGGAAGGGGGGGACTAGTGGGGGGTTGTGGGGGGGGGTACCACCCCTAGGTCCACTCGGCTTGAAATGGGGGTGGGGGTCACGTGACGTTAGTGCGTGGTAGCGGTCAGCGCAACGAACCTGGCGACCCGACTTCGATTCCCGCTCACAGCCAACACCAGTGACGAGTATTTAAACCGTTCCCGGGCCTCCCCTAGGTCGTCTCAGCCTCAGATGAGTACCTGGTGCGATGTGTAAAAGCATGACCACTGGGAAGACAAAGGCGGCCGGGCATGGTGCTGGCCACCTATCCCCCTTGTGTGCCACATTGCCGGCCTTGGTGGGTGCTCCGGCCCCAACAGTCTGTTCAGGCTATACGGGAGATTTATTTCTTTGTACTCCACCCCCATTCACTGCTATTAAACATCGGCATAGGGGGAGACAAAGGTGGCCAGGCTTGGGGTGCATCGTGGTACTGTACCACCCACCCCCCTCTGTGTGTACCACAGTAGCGGCCTTCATAGGCGCTGCTGCTACTCGTTACTAACAGCACTTTCCTACATCACTGTGTAGGCTACCTGGGGGAGCTTTGCCTTTGTTACGTGAAAGCAATAGATTATCACAACCACCGCAACCATCACTATAACAACCACAACAGCCGAAACACAACCACATCACCAACATCACCACCGCCACCACCATCATCACCATCACCCTCATTACCTCCATCACCACCACCATCGATACCACCATCACCACCATCAACAATATCACCACCATCACTAACACCTCCACCATCAGCACTACCATCACCAAAATCACCACCACAACTACCCTCACCATCACCACCATCTGCGCGTGGACAAAGAGTGAGGCTTACCGGAAAGCCGGAGACACGAGGAGACGCAGAGGCAGAGCCCGGGAGACGCGTGGAGACAGAGGGAGACACGGAGGGGAGACACGGAGGGGAAACAATCAGAGACACTGGGAGACAGGGGGAGACACAGGGGGGAGAGAAACACTGGGAGACGGGGGAGACACAGGGGGGGAGGGAGACACCGGGAGACAGGGGGAGATACGGGGGGAGGGAGACAAGGGGAGACACGGGGAAAGGGATTGGGAGACAGGGGGAGACACGGAGGGGAGACGTGGTGGGGAGACGTGGTGGTGAGACAATGAGAGAAACTGGGAGACAGGGGGAGACACAGTGGGGAGGAAGACACTGGGAGGCACTGGGAGGAGAAACACGGAGGGAGACACGGAGGGGAGACACGGGGAGAGACACGGATGGGAGACGTGGTGGGGAGACAATGAGAGACACTGCTAGACAGGGGGAGACACTAAGAGACAGGGGGGAGACACGGAGAGACACAGAGAGACACTGATAGACCCTGCGCGGATTCAGCACCGCGGGCCGTGGACAGCGCGGCGCATGCGCATTGCGCGCCCCGCCTCGGGCTGCGTGGGGGGAGCTGGGGGGGTTCAGGGGAGATGGGGTTTCAGTGTGTGCGTGTGTGTCACTGTGTGTGACACTGTCTGTGTGTGTGTCAATGGAGGTGTCTTTGTGTGTGTCAGTGTCTGTGTGCGTGTGAAAGTGTGTCAGTGTGTGTCTCAGTGTGTGTGTCTTTGTATGTGTGTCTTTGTCTGTGTGTGTCAATGTGTGTCAGTGCATGTGAGTGTGTGTCATTGTCAGTGTCTGTTTCTTTATTTTTGTGTCAGTGTGTATGTGTGTGTGTGTCAGTACACATACATATTGACACGCAAAGACAAAGATCCCCCATTTAGCCTTAACAGACTGTAGGGGCAAGTGCTGTTAGCGAGCACCAATGAAGGCCGGCACGGCACACGAGGGGGTGGGTGGCCAGCACCACGCCCGGCCGCCTTTGTCTCCCTAGTAGCGAAGCTGACACACAGCACTCTGTACTCATTTGAGGTTGAGTCGACCTAGGGCAAGCCCAGAACCGGTTCGGATAATCGTCGCTGGTGTTGGTCGTGCGCTAACCACTACGGCGCCACTCCCCACACACACACTGGCACACACACACACACTTACATAGAGGCAAATACACGAACACACTGACACACACATTGACACAGACACTGACACAAAGACACATACACACACAAACGGACACACACTGACACTAACACACTGACACACACAAAGACACTAACACACTAACCACTAACACTCACACTGACTGACACAAAGACACACACGTGCATACACACTGACACGCACAAAGACACTGACACACACAAAGACACTGACACAAACTGACACACACACTGACACACACACAGATACTGACACTCACACACACGAAGACGCTGACACACACACTGGAAGTGACACACACAATGACACAATAACACACACACAGACCGGTGCAGAGGCACAGAAGAATCAGCAAACACAGCTGATGGCAACTCCTCCCCTCTCCCATTCACACACGCGTGTCTGTGTGTACGCGTGTGTGTGTACGTGTGCGTGCTCGTTTGTGTACGTGTGTGTGTACACGTGTGTGTACGTGTGTACGCGTGTGTGTACGAGTGTTACGTGTGTGTACATGTGTGTGTATGTGTGTGCGCGTGTGATGTGTACGTGTGATGTGTACACGGGTGTGTACGTGCATTGTATATATGTGTGTCTGTGTATTTGTGTGTGAGTGGAGAGCAGTAGTGTCGCCGTTAGCGCACTGCGCTACGAACCCTGCCACCCCAGTTTGATTACCTCTCACATCCAACACCAGTGACGACTATTTGAACCGGTCCTGGGCCTCCCCGAGGTCGATTCAGCCTCAAACGAGTACCTGGTACGATGTGTAAAAGCATCACCACTGGGGAGACAAAGGCGGCCGGGCGTGGTGCTGGCCACCCACCCCCTCGTGTGCCATACCGGCCTTCATATGTGCTGCTGCTCGCTACTAACAGCACTTTGTGGTTGTAATTGTTGTGATGGATGTGATGGTTGTGATGATGGATGTAATGGATGCGATGGTATTTATTGTTGTTATGCAGTTGGAGGCAGTTGCCCTCAAGCATCAGCCGAGAGCAGAGGAGCGACGCTCACAACAGCGAGTGGAGCGCCGGGCCGATAAAACACAGCGAGTTGTACCTAGCCTAGCACAGCAGTCAACCCATGGCACCAAAAGGGTCTATCCCGTGACCTCCTGCAGCTAGCCTGGCACAGCAGTCAACCCATGGTACTTGGGTCTGTCCCGTGACCTCTTCCTCCTGCACCTAGCTTGACACAGCAGTTAACCTATGGTACCTGGGTTTGTCCCGTGACCTCCTCCTGCACATAGCCTGGCACAGCAGTCAACCAATGGCACCCGCAGGAATCTGTTCCGTGACCTCCTCCAGCACATAGCCTGACACAGCAGTACATTTATGATACCTGGGTCTGCCCCGTGACCTCTTCCCTCTGCACCTAACCTGGCACAGCCGTTAATCCATGGTACCTGCAAGATCTGTTCCGTGACCTCCTGCACCTAGCTTGGCACAGCAGTCAAGCCATGGTACCGAGGTCTGTCCGGTGACCTCGTGCCAGCTGGCGTTCGACACTTCACGTGCCGTAAAGTACACCCAGCCCGGCACAAGCACCGTGGTGCCGTCCACCGAACTGTGGTTGTTGTATGACACATCCAGCACTGGGGAGACGAAGGCGGCAGGGCCACACTTGGCCCAGATGCCCAATTGAGCTATCTGGGGGGGGGGGGGGGGTAGACATCTGCTAGGCGTAGATGAATGAGTTGGGGGTGGGGTGAGTAGGTGGGTGAGTGGGTGGGTGAGTGAGTGGTGGGATGAGTGGTAGGGTGAGTGATGGTCACGTGATCTCCCGAGCTCTTTATCCGCTCAGCAGATGGGCGACAGATGGGGGAGGGGGTTAGACACGTGACCAAGCCCCGCCCCTCTCCTCCCATGGGACCCACGTGATCCACCCCCCTCCCCAAGAGAACCCACGTGACCATCCCCCTCTCCATCTCCCCCTTCCCCCCACGGCACCAACATGACAAATCCCCCCTCCCCTCATCCCCCCTCCCCCCCAGGTGACCCACGTGACAAATTTCCCCTCCCTCTCCCGGTGACCCACGTGACAAATCTTCCTCCCCCTCCATCCCCCCCTTCCCCCCCACCAGGTGACCCACGTGACAAATTCCCCTTTCCCTTACAGGTGACCCACGTGACAAATTCCCCTTTCCCTTACAGGTGACCCACGTGACAAATCCCCCCAGGCGACCCACGTGACCCCCCCCCCTTCCCCCCACGTGACAAATCCCCCATACCCCTCATTCCCCCCAGGTGATATACGTCACAAATCTCCCCTCCACCCATCCCCCTCCCCAGGTGACCCACGTGACAAATTCCTCCCCCCCCCATTCCAAATTTCCCCTCACAGGACCCACGTGACAAATCCCCCATCCCTCCCCAGGTGACCCACGTGATCAATCCCCCCCCCACTCACCCCCCACGCGCTTTACGACAGCGAGTAGCTGCCGATTCTCCTTTACGGCAGCGACGGTCGTCATGGCGACGAAGTAAGCGGCCTAGTAGCTTAGGCTAGAAGGTTTTTAACTTTGTAACATATTTATTTTGGTTTAATCCAGAACTAAAACTGGGAGACAAGGGGATAGGGTTCCCAATCGAGAGTCTGACACGGGTCACCAACATGATAGACGTCGACTGTAATACGAAGCGAATAGAACAAATGGGAGAGAAATCTGAGCAAAAAAATATATCTGCAAACCACCGTAACTCTGTTAAGGCGTGTCGATATTTTTATTGTCAACAATTTCACGGTTTTATTATTAAAGCGAAAATGTCGTGGGGAAAAGAGGGAGTCTGTGTAAGGGCCACGACGGCGGTTTAAAATAAAAAATAAATCACTAGGCCCCGATCGGGACCACGGTCTTGCCTCGTCTCCCTGGGCGGGTTGGAGTCTCGGGCCCCGCGGAGGCGCCATGGCGGAGCGCGGGGTCGCCGAGGCCGAGACAACGAAGCCCGGGTGAGTTGAAGAGCTTCATAGCTCATCGGGTTTCTCTTCCAGGCCAAATGAGAGTGAATGAGTGTGACTGTGTGAGCGTGTGACTGAATAAGTGTGAGAGTGTACGCGTGTGAATGAATGAGAGTGAATGATTGTGAGAGTGAATGATTGTGAGCGTGTGAATGTGTGAGAGTGAATGATTGTGAGAGTGAATGAGTGTGAGCGTGTGAATGTGTGAGAGTGAATGAGTGCGCGTGTGAATGAATATGAGAGTAAATGAGTGTGAATGAGTGAGTGCGCGTGTGAATGAATGGGTGTGAGAGTGAATGAGTGTGAGGGTGTGAATGAATGAGTGTGAGAGTCGGTGAGTGAGAGTGAGTGTTTGAATCAATGTGTGAGTGAGTGAATGAGTGAGAGTGAATGCGCGTGAGAGTGAGTGTGTGAATCAATATGAGTGAATAAGTGAGTGATTGAATGAGTGTGAGAGTGCGCGTGTGCGTGAATGAGTGATTAAGTGTGAGAGTGAATGAGTGATTGAATGAGTGAGAGTCAATGAGTGAGTGCGTGAATTAGTGTGAGTGAATGAGTGAGATTGTGATTGGATGAGTGAGTGTGAATGAGTGATTCAATGATATTGTGAGTGTGTGAATTAGTGCGTGATTGAATAAGAGTGCGAATGAGTGAGAGTGAACGAGTCAATGTCTGAATGAGTGTGATTGCGCGCGTGAATGTGTGAGAGTGAGTGTGTGAATGAGTGTGAGTGTATGAATAAGTATGAGAGTGAATGAGTGTGAGAGTGCGCGTGTGAGTGAATGAGTGATTGATTGTGGGAGTGAATGAGTGTGTGTGTGAATGAGAGTGACTTGAATGTATGCATGTATGTTGAACTTCTTCCGCACCGTACGTATCCAACCTTGCTGATCGGAAGTGCGGGAGGACAGAAAACTAAACACAACAAGAAGCAGTTCTCAATGTAGTTGTGTATAGTGTATTGTTTAATAGTGTAGTGTATAGTAGTGCAATGTGTAGTAGTGTAGTGTATCGTAAGTGTAGTGTATTGTAGTGTAGTGCATAGTGTTTAGTCGTGCCGTGTGTAGTAGTGTAGTGTATAGTGGTGTAGTGTGTAGCAGTGTAGTGTATATATTCTCTTACCTATAAAATTCATTTTCTGTCCCGTTCGTCCATCTGTCTGCGCACGCGCTTGCGAGGGATTTGGCTCTCAAACGGTGGGGTAGGACGTAAAATAATTGTCCAGGTGCCACGCCGTAAGCCCCGCGGTTGGCAAGTGCTATTTCCTTTTCCCGTCCATCACCTTGAAATTCGTTTAAATAGCGCTTTTTTGCAAGTTATATATTTGTAAAATTCGTTACACTTTTATTTATTTATTTCCCTTCACCGCTCGGGGTGGCACAACGCAGCAAACTGTGTATGCGCACAATGTTCATCACGGTTAGCCCCGAGCAACCCACACACGATCGGCACAAATTTTCATTCGCGTTAAACATGCAACTAAAACACACAAAACGCTGAGGTTGTTTGTTCACAGTGATGTCCTCTTCTCCCCACCCCACCCCAATGCGTCCTGTTACTACTATAGAGCCCCTAGATATTATTATAGCGCTTACATAGTATTATTGTAGCGCGGCCGGGGTGAGCGGCCCAATCCTCAGCCTGCCAAGATGACACCTTGGCCGGCTGCGCACTCTAGGCGAGGGCGGGGGGCTCTGCACGGGACTAGGCCTCACCACGGCAATGTTCCGTACCATTTCCTTGCATCTTTCCCTAACCTCACCTTGCTAGAAACCCAGTTTTTTTTATAAACACCTTCATAATATTACATTAACTATGTTTGTGTGCAGACTACTGTTTTTGTTTGCCTGCTCACAACTAAATGTTTAAAAATCACTGTCATTATATTTATTATTTGTCAACTCACCTTTATAGAAAACTTCTTTCGATAATCACCTTGATAATATTACATTTATACTGTTTGTGTGCAAATAGCTAATATTTATCTTCCTTGCTTATTTCACTAAACTCACGTACATATAATCCTGTTATTTTAATAATCTCCAAAATAAAAAAAACACATTGATTTTTGTGTGCTCACAACTAACATTCTATCAATAACTTGGGCATTAATAATATTCTTATTATTGTGTCAACAAACGTTCACAGGAACCGTAATTTTTAAGAATCACCTTGCAAATATTACATTCATAATGTTTGTGTACTGACAACTAAGATTTAAAAAATTACTTGGTCAATATTAATATATTTTTAATTGTGTCTACGTCCGTGTGTGTATCAGTCGATGTGTGTGCGACTCGATGTGTGTGTGCATGAGTTGATATCTCTGTGTGTCAGTCGCTGTGTGTGTATTAGTCAATGTGTGTGCATGGTGTGTGTACACAACTAATATTTAACAATTAGGTTACTTCAATTTTAAATAATTACGTGTGTGTCTGCGTCGATATGTGTGTGCGTAAGTCGATGTGTGTGTGTCAGTCCATGTGTGTGTGTTAGTCATCGCTTACGGCTGGGGTTTGCATCGTCCCCGACTCCTCCAGATGTCGAGGGTAAATGGGCGAGGTTTAGGACTGTGACTCATGCAGCTGCAATGGCTGCTTTGGGTACGCAGTCCAGACCTCCCCAAAGACCCTGGCTGACAGAGGAGGTGTTCAGGATAGTTGAGAAAAAGCGACAGGCCCACTCTAATCGTCTACAGCATCCCACATCAGAGAATGAGGAGGCTTGCCGCAGCCTTCGCTCGGAGGTTCGGAGAGCCGTGAGGCGCTGCAAAGATGGGTGGTGGTCGCGGGTTGCTGTGGAGATGGAGTCTGCCTCAATGGCCCGCGATCACAAATCCCTATTTAACTCCATCACAAAGGTAACCTGCAGCGCCACACCTATTACCATCATTAGGGGAAAAAACGGTGATCCAATATCCGACCCCCAGGAACAGGTTTGCAGATTTCCTGAGCATTTTTGTGAAGTCCTAGGGGAGGGGAAATCCCTCGACATGGGAAACATCGTGGGACAAAGTGGGGATAACCCTGCGGAGGCTGCAGTGCCCAAATATTTGAAGAAGTCACCCCATGTGAGTGGCTGGCTGAGGTACCATCTGTTGAGGAAGTACTAAAGGCGATCCAGAGTCTGAGACCAGGAAAGGCACCGGTCAGAGATGATCTCCCAAGCGGAATACTGAGGGAGGGTGGCGTTTGTGCACAGACTGCCCTACATGACATAACAACAGTCTGGACCACTGGACGGGTTCCGCAGTACTTAAAGGATGCCCTGGTGGTCCCCCTTTTTAAGAAGGGGGATTGCACGGACTATAACAACTACAGGGGCATCTCACTCCTCAGTGTGCCGGGAAAGGTCCTGGCAAGGATTATTCAACATTGCCTTGCTAGGCACGCTGAGGAGAGGCTTGCGGAGCCTCAATGTGGTTTCAGGAAAGGGCGGTCCTGCACGGATGCCATATTTTCTGTCCGTCTGCTACAGCAGAGGTGTAGGGAATTCCAACAAGACCGACATCTCTGCTTTATTGACCTGGTCAAGGCCTATGAGACCATCAGTAGGCCTGGGCTCTGGGTTGTTCTTTGTGCTTTCGGTGTCCGTGACCCTCTGCTCACAATCATTAAGGACCTTCATGATGGTGAGCGGGCCTGGGTAAAACTACGTGGCAGGGAGTTGGAGCCATTCCATGTACACCTTGGGGTGCGACAGGGATGTCCTCTGGCTCCCACATTATTTATCATCTATTTTGGCCTTCAATAGCTGTACCGGAGGAATTTCCATCTGGTACAGATATAATGGGAGGCTGATCGATGCCCGGGTGCGGTCAAGGGATTGCTTCCTATTTTTCAACCATGTTATGTATGCCGATGATCTGGTAATCGCTGCTCAGGATTTGGAGGCACTGCTGCTAAACCTGGAGCTTGCCACTAAGAGGTGGGGCCTTACCATCAGCCCCATCAAAACTAAGCACCTGCCAGGGTATTTTGTACCATCGGACACTCCACCCCCTAAACTCCTAATTGGTGATGGGGCAGTTGTGGAGAGAGTGGAGAGTTTCCCATATCTGGGCAGTGTGCTTATGACCGGCTCCGGTTTAACAGCAGAGGTCTGGCTCCAAATCAGTCGAGCAGCATTATCATTTCATCGGTTGCGTAACGCTGTGTGGAAGCTACCTGGTCTGTCGCTCTGCACGAAGCTTCAGGTCTTCTCGGCCACAGTCATTCCCTCCCTTCTCTACGCTTGCGAAACGTGGACCCCCCTAATGGAACATCTTCGCTGGTTAGAAACATTTAGGCTGGCCTGCCTACGATCCATCCTGGGTTTAACCAGGCTGGATTGTCTGAGGAGCTCACAAATCCTTGAAAGATCTGGACAAAGTCCCATCGGTGAGCTCCTCCGGCAGGCAAGGCTGCGTTGGCTGTGCCATGTAGCCCGCATGCCAAGTCACGGCATGCCTAAACAGCTTTTATTCGGCTAAACGGGTGCAGCACGGGCTAGAGAAGAGATGGAGTGATGTGGTACGGGAGGATGTGGAGCTGAGTGGACTTGCCGATGACTGGTACCAGTGGTGTCAAGATCGGCCTCTGTGGAGGAGACTCGTGAAGGACGCTGCTGGGCAGTTGGAGGCAGTCACCCTCCAGCAACAACGGAGGGTGGAGGAGCGACGCTAAAGTACAGCAAGTTGGCACAGTAGGCGGCACAGGTGGTGCATCAGCCACTCATCTCAGTCGACCCGTGGCACCTGGGTCTGCCCCGTGACCTGCCAGCGGGCGTTCGACACTTCACGTGGCCTCAAGGTGCACATAGTCCTGACACAAACATCGTGGTGACGTCACCGCCACTTAGTGTCGAATGGCGGTTGTTGTGTGTGCGTGTTTAGTGTTTGCGTAGACAACTAAGATTTTACAATTTAAATAGTACATTTCTTAATATTTATGTCTGTCTAAGTACATGTTTGCATGTGAGTCGATGTGTGTGTGTGTGGCTCCATGTGAGCATCTTAGTCCATTTCTTTGTGTGTGTGTACGTGCATGCGTGTGTGTGAGTCGATGTGTTTGTGTGTGTCAGTCCATGTGTGTGTGGCTCCATGTGAGTAAGTCCATTTCTTTATGTGTGTGTGTAGGTGCATGTGTAGTGACATATGACGTCACTACTGTGTCAGGTCTGTATACACATGACATCACTGCCATGTTGGGTCTGTATGCGTGGCGTCACTGCCTGTTCGGTATGGAGGCTGTTGACGGGTGCCACGGGGGTTGTGTCAGGCCGTGGCACTTCGAGTGACCCCGGCTGGACACGTGACCGGATTCAAGAGGGGTCCGGGGACCCTGGGGGTCACGTGGTCAGGGAGTGGAGCCTTCTCGTGGGTTCGAGAAGGGGGGTGTGGTCAAGGTCTGGCCGACCACGCCGGAGAGGTTTATCAGTGGGCTGAGCGCGCAGAGCTGGGCTATTGGTGCCTGGGATGAAGCCGTCGTATGAAGACTCTGATGAAAGAAGCCTCCAGTCATCGTGGCCAAGCAGAAGCCCTCCTGGCTTGGCCACGCCAAGTAGTACCCGAGTATTAGTGAGAGTAGGACGGTGGTCACCACCTTATGTGTAGGGTGTGTTGCAGTTGTGTTGCAGTTGTATTAAATAAATAGTGTTGCCTCCACATGAGTGTAAGTGTCTCTATCGAACCATTACGCATGTGTGTGTTAGTCCATGTGTGTGTGTAACTCCATGTGTGTGTATCTAAAGTCGATGTCTGTGTGTGTGGGTCAATGTCTGTGTGTGTAGGTCGATGTGTGTGTCTGTCTTTTTCGCCCGGGCAACACCGGGTACTTACCGCTAGTAGGAATATATAGCAGTGTAGTGTATAGTGTATTGGATCGTAGTTTATAGTATAGTGTATAGTCGTGTATTGTATAGTAGTGTATAGTATAGTGTATAGTAGTGTAACCGAGAAGATGGATTCTGGCTTAGCAATCATTGGAAGGACGTAATAAACCATTTCGACACACATTAGGGTGGGTAGAATAATACATAGTGTTATATTAAATGTATAAGATATAGGTTGGTTTACAGCAATACAGTATATAATTTAATGTTGGCAGTATATAGTACGGTATATGCTCGTGTGATGCAATAGAATAAAGTTTAGATGGAAGCATATTATATAATTTTTACGACGTAGAATTGTAATGTATTACTTGCTGTTAGTAACTCAGCTTAGTGTAGAGTATAGTAAGTATACTGATGGTGCTATGCTATTTATACTTTAGTTTTTTATGTAGTTTATACTTTAGTTTTCTACGTGGTGGTTGAGTAACTGCAGCTACATATCATTAACATTCCTTTCCTTTGTTACTGCTAATCCCTGCACCCCCCCTTGGTGCTGTTGATCCTGCATAATGCATGGGCATAATATGACTTTGAAACCCCCCCGCCCACCTCCTACGCATTTTCCATGAATATGCTAAATTCCTCTTCATATGCACATTCTTTTGTTAAGGCGCTCTTTCCTCCACCTCCAACGCAGCTTATATATAAGCTCCTAGCTTGGCATTGTCTCATTCTTCACCTGAAGACGGCTGCTTGCGTTGTAGCCGAAACGTCGTGAGAATTATTTTATTTTATTATGTTTTATTTTTATTATTTTATTACTTCCCTTCTACGTGACTTTACCGAAAGAACTAAGAAGATAGTTTATAGTAGTGTATAGCAGAGGTGGGACAAAGTCATTGTTATGCAAGTCCAAGTCGAGTCTGAAGTCATCAAATTCATGACTCGAGTCTGACTCGAGTCCAAGTCACATGACTCGAGTCCACACCTCAGAGGTGGGACAAAGTCATTGTTATGCAAGTCCAAGTCGAGTCTGAAGTCATCAAATTCATGACTCGAGTCTGACTCGAGTCCAAGTCACATGACTCGAGTCCACACCTCTGGTGTATAGTAGTTTAGTTTATAGTAGTGTATCGAAGTGTAGTGTGTAGTAGTGTCATTTATAGTAGTGTGCAGTAGTGTAGTGTGTCATAGTGTAGTATATAGTGTATTGTATAGTAGTGTATAGTGTAGTTGTGTGTAGTAATGTGTAGTGTATAATAGTGTATAGTTTATAGTAATGTGTAGTATATAGTGTATTGTATAGTAGTGTAGTGTATTGTGTAGAAATGTATAGTAGTGTAGTGTATAATGTAGTAGTTTTATAATAGTATGTAGTGTATAGTAGTGTGTGTGTATACGTTGAACTTCTTTGGCACCGTACATAGCCAAACCAAACTAAACAGTTCTAAAGAAACAAGTTGTCAATCGAGATTATGTAAAGTTGTAAACGATGATGATGACCTGCGAGTGAAATGCAGGCAGCAGCAGGAGGAGGAAGAGGTGGAGGAGGAGGTGGAGGAGGTTCCGTTGGAGTTGGTGAGGGAGAGGGAAGTTCAGTGGCTCAGAGTCCTCTCCGACTGGGACGGGTGGATGGGCGCTCGGCCTGGCAAGGTGAGGGTGAAGCACACCCTGAAGGGGTGGGTCTGTGGGTGGGTGAGTGGGGGTGGGTGAGTGGGTGAGTGGGGGTGGGTGAGTGGGTAAGTGGGGGTGGGTGAGTAGGTGATCGAGTGGGTGGGTGGGTTGGTGAGTGTGTGAGTGGGTGGGTGAGTGAGCGAGTGAGTGAGTGGGAGAGAGAGGAGAGGTGGGCTGATGATGAGTGAATACTTGAGTGGGTGAGTAGGTGAGCGAGTGGGTGGGTGGGTTGGTGAGTGTGTGAGTGGGTGGGTGAGTGAGCGAGTGAGTGAGTGGGAGAGAGAGGAGAGGTGGGCTGATGATGAGTGAATACTTGAGTGGGTGAGTGTGTGGGTGGGTGGGTAAGTTAGTGAGTGAGTGAATGAATGGGTGAGTGAGTTGTTGAGTGGATGACTGGGTGGGAGCGTGTGTGAGTGAATGCATGAGTGAGTGAGTGTGTGAGTGAAAGGATAAGTGCGTGGGTGAGTCGGTGTATAGGTATGTGGGGAGCGGTAGTGTAGCAGTTAGCGCGCCATGCTACGAACCCGAGTTTGATTCCTGCTCACGGCCAACACCAGTGACAATTATCTGCACCAGTCTTGGGCCTTCCCAAGGTCGACTCAGCCTCAGATGAATACCTGGTGCATTGTGTAGTAAACATCGCCACTAGGGAAACAAAGGCGGCCGGGCGTGATGCTGGCAACCCACCCCCTCGTGTGCCACAGTGCCGGCCTTTATAGGTGCTGCTCGCTAACAGCACTGGCCTCTACAGCACTGTTGAGGCTGAACGGGGGATCTTTGTATGTGTGTGAGTGTGTACATAGGTGCTGCTACTCGCTACTTACAGAACTTGCCCCAACAGTCTATTAAGGCTACACGGGGAATCTGTATGTGTTTGTGTGTACATAGACGCTACTCGCTACTAACAGCACTTGCCCCAACAGGTCTGTAGAGGCTACATTGAGGATCTTTGTCTCTGTGTGTGAGTGTGTGTCAGTGTGTACATAGCACTTGCCCCAACAGTCTCTTAAGGCTGAACGGGGGATCTTTGACTCTGCGTGTGTGTGTCAGTGTATACGTATTCGCTGCTACTCACTATTAACAGCAGTTTAACATGTAGGCTTTCACAACCCATATTATCCATAATAGAGGGGTTTTTTAATTAGGTTAGATTGCGTAAATATAAATGTTGTGTTAAACCCGCCACCACCCGACACGGCCGATTAGTAGGGTTTGTCACGTAAGCAAAACATACCAATTCGTTACTAGTTGAGCACTAACCGGTTGCGAGTTGGAGAGTCAACCCACAACATGTGTGCGTACTAAACAGCTCTTGCCCCAACAGGACTGTTGAGGCCACACGGGGGATCTTTGTCTCTGTGTCTGTACAGGTTCGTGAACTCTGCAGACTGGGAGTGCCCAACTCTCTGCGGGCGCGTGTTTGGCTCTTTATGACGGGAGCCAGGACTCGCATGCAACGGAATCCGGGAAAGTTCCAGGTGACGTGAGCATGCGTGCGTGTGTGTGTGTGCGTACCTGTGTGCGTGTAGCGGTTAGCGTGCTGCACTACGAATCCAGTGTCTCAAGTTCGATTCCCACTCACGGCCAAAACCAGTGACGAGTATCTGAACCGGTCCTGGGTCTCCCCTAGGTCGACTCAGACTCAAATGAGTACTTGGTGTGATGTGTAACATTGCCACTTGGGAAACAAAGGTGGCCGGGCGTGATGCTGGCAACCCACCCCCTTGTGTGCCACAGTGCCTGCCTTCATAGGTGCTTGCTAACAGCACTTTCCCCAACAGTCTGTTCAGGCTATACGGGGGATCTTTGCGCTTATAGGCTGTGTTGGCTGGGTCATATAGCCCGCATGCCCAGCCACAGCATGCCCAAATAGCTTTCGTTTGGCTTAATAAAGGGGGATAAATGGGCACGGCATGGGCTAGAGTAGAGATGGACTAATGCTGTACGAGAGTATATGGAGATGAGTGGACTTGCCGAAGAGTGGTATTAGCTGTATCAAGATCGGCCTCTGTGGAGGAGGCTCATGAAATACGCTGCTGATGGGCAATTGGAGGCTGTCGCCCTCCAGCAACAGCGGAGGGCAGAGGAGCGATGCTCCCAATGACGAGCAGAGTGCTGAGTGGCTAAAATACAGCAAATTGGCACAGCAGTGGGCACAAGTGGTGCATCAGCCAGTCATCTCAGTCAGTCGACCAATGGCACCTGGGACTGTCCCGTGATCTCCTGCCAGCAGGCAATCAACACTTCACGTAACCTTAGAGTGCACATGGCCTGGCACAAGCACCATAGTGATGTCACCGCCACTTAGTGGCAAACAGCAATTATTGTTGTTGTATATTTGTGTCTGTGTATATCATGGGGAGCGGTGGTGTCCACTTAGTCCTTCATTCAGCTGTGCACTCAGCTGTCCACTGGGCTGTTCAATCAGTCCTCCACTCAGCTGTCCACTCAGCTGTGCACTCAGCTGTCCACTCTGTCCTCCACTCAGCTGTTCACTATGTCCTCCACTCAGCTGTCCACTCAGCTATCCACTCGGCTGTCCACTCAGTCCTCTCCTCAGCTGTCCAGTCAGCTGTCAACTCAATCCTCCACTCAGTCGTCCACTCAGCTGTCCACTCAGTCTTCCACTGACCTATCCAATCAGTCCTCCACTCAACTGTCCACTCTATCCTTGGTGTCTCCGCAGGAGCTTGCGTCTGCGCCGGGCGACCCGCGTTGGGTGGAGGCGATCGAGAGAGACGTCCACCGGCAGTTCCCCTCGCACGAGATGTTCACCACCATGGGTGGATATGGGTACATGCACACACTCATACACCTACACACACCTACAAAAAAAACACAAAGGTCCCCCGTTTAGCATGTAACAGACTTTTGGGGCAAGTTTTGTTAGCGAGCACCTATAAAGACCGGAATGGCACACCAAGGGGGTGGGTGGCCAGGACCACTCCCGTCCGCCTTTGTCTCCCCAGTGGTGATGTTTCCACACCTCACCAGGTATTCATTTGAAGGTGACCTAGGGGAGGCCCAGTACCAGTTCAAATAATCGTAACTGGTGTTGGCCGTGAGCGGGAATCGTACCCAGGTCGCCAGGTTCGTAACGCAGTGTGCTAACCACTACGCTACCGCTCCCCAGACACACACCCACACAACAACAACTGGCATTTTCCACTAAGTGGTGGTGACGTCACCATGGCACTTGTGCCAGGCTAAGTGCACTTTAAGGCCACATGAAGTGTTGAACACCCGGAGGCAGGAGGTCACGTTACACACCCAGGTGCCATGGGTTCACTGACTGAGATGACCGGCTGATGCACCACCTCTGCTCCCTGCAGCAGCGCAGTTCAGCAGCAGCGCCTCCAACATCTCCTCTGAGTGAGCAGCAATCACCAGATCATCGGTGTACATAGCATAGTTGACCAAGAGGGAGCCATTCTTTGACCGCACCCGGGCATCGATCAGCCTCCTATTGTATCTGTACGAGATGGAGATTCCTCCAGTACAGCTATTGAAGGCTTCACGAATTACGTGGTCGAAATAGATGTTAAATAATGTGGGAGCCAGAGGACATCCTGTCGCCACCCCAAGGTGTACAGGGAATGGTTCCGACTCCCGGCCACGTAGTTTTACCCGCTCACCATCATGAAGGTCCTTAATGATTGTGAGCAGAGAGTCAGGGACTCCGAAACACGAAGAACAACCCAGAGCCCAGGCCTATTGATGGTATCATAGGCCTTGACCAGGTCAATAAAGCAGAGATGTAGGTCCTGTTGGAATTCCTTATACCTCTGTTGTAGCAGACGGACAGATAATATGGGATCTTTGCAGGACCGCCCTGGTCTGAAACCACATTGGGGCTCCGCAAGCCTCTTCTCAGCGTGCCTGGCAAGGCAATGTTGAATAATCCTCGCCAGGACCTTTTGTGTAGTAGTGCAGTGTATAGTAGTGTCCTGTGTAGTAGTGTAGTGTATAATCGTGTAGTGTAAAGTATGTTATTGTAGTATATAGTGTAAACTAAAGTAGTGTCGTGTTTAGTAGTGTCGTGTGTAGTGTATCGTCGTGTAGTGTATATTAGTGTCGTGTTTAGTGTATAGGACTGTAGTGTATACAGTGTTGTGTGTAGTATAGTGTATCGTGTAGTGTTTATTACTGTTGTATAGTATATAGTGCAGTGTATTGTAGTGTAGTGTGTAGTCGTGTAGTATAGAGTAGTGTCATGTATAATAGTCTGTATGTACATTTAACTTCTTTGACACTGTACGTCGCCAACCGTGATAATCGGAGGTGCATGGGAAGGACAACAAACTAAACACAGCAACAAGCAGTTGTAAAGAAACGAGTTGGCACGGGGGAGAGTTGTCTCAATGTAGTATAGTGGTGTAGTGTATCGTCGTGTATAGTAGTGTAGCACAGTATAGTGAGTAGTGCATTGTGTAATGGATTGTAGGGTAGTGTGTAGTATTGTCCAGTGTAGTCGTGTAATGTATAATAGTGTAGTGTATAGAGTAGTGTATTGTATAGTGCATGTATGTAGGTACTGTATAGTAGTGTAGTGTGTAGTGTATAGTTTCGTAGTATAGCATATAGTGTAGTGTATAGTATTCTAGTGTAGTATAGTGCAGTGTATCGTAGAGTAGCATAGTATAGTATAGTGAGTAGTGTAGTATTGTACAGTGTAGTAGTGTAGTGTATAGTAGTGTGTAGTTTATAGTATAGTAGTAAAGCGTTTAGTGTAGTGTATAGTACTGTAGTGTAGCATATAGTGTAGTGTATAGTGTAGTAGTGTTGTATGTAGTGTATAGTAATGTAGTGTAATGTGTAGTGTATAGTACTGGAGTGTATAGTGTAGTGTATAGTATTGTAGTGTAGTATATAGTGGTGTAGCGTATAGTGGAGTGTGTAGTATTAGTGTAGTGACGTAAATGGAGTCACTATGGCATTTAGCGCCAGCTACTGTCACAAGAGTGGAATTGTGCGTCTTGAGCCTCTGTCTGGTACCAGAGTAGGCATGGCATGGAAGCGGGCCGTAGGGGGCATGGTTCTGGTGACAGTCAGAGAGCGGGCAAATGAGGACGTGAGATTCTGGGTGAACTCAAGAGGGCGCGTGACCGGGACAGGTTAGCGAGGGGGCTCAAAGGGTGGCTTGAGGGGCACGTGATGCTCGGTCGAGAACCCTCTGGTGAGATCCAGAAGGGGCGTGGCCGAAGGTGGAGCGAGGCCACGCTTGGGAGCATAAAAGGGAGGTCCCGAGAGCAATCGCAGCTGTCTGTTGGAATGGAACCCATCGGTGCTACGTCTCTTTGATCCTCGGTCCTCGGTCTTTACGCTTGGCATCGTGGGTCAGGCAGTGTGTTACTGACTAACCCGGTTATGTAGTTACCTCATTGTGGTCTAGTTAACCGTGTAGTTATCACCTATATGTAGAACCCGTTGTTACGTTTAAGTAGTAGCCTTGTTGGGGCCGTGTAAGAAACGTGTTGCCTCCCAGTTCAAGAGTGTGCCTCCGTATAACCCACTACTTATTGGTATGTATATGCGTTGAACTTTTTTCACACCGCACGTAGCAAAAATCGTGCTGTGTGTGTGTCCCAACCACTCCTACCACCACCCCTCACCATCAGGCAGAGGGATCTGGCCCAGGTGCTCCGAGCATTCTCCGTGCTCTGCCCGGAGGTCGGTTACTGTCAGGCGCAGGCGCCCATCGCTGCCACCCTGCTCATGCGCATGCCAGCCGAGGTGCCAACACCCGCACATACACAAACGCACACACACGCACGCATACACACACACACACAACAACAACCGCCATGCACCACTAAGTGGCGGTGATGTCACTACGACGCTTGTGCCAGGCCATGTGCACCTTGAGGCCACGTGAAGTGTCGAACGTCCGCTGGCAGGAGGTCACGGGGCAGACCCAGGTGCCACAGGTCAACTGACTGAGAATGTCTGAAATGACTGGCTGATACACCACCTGTGCCCCCTACTGTGCCAACTTGCTGTGCTTTAGCCACCCGGCACTCCGCTCGTTGTTGTGAGCGTCGCTCCTCCGCCCTCCGTTGTTGTTGGAGGGCGACTGCCTCCAACTGCCCAGTAGCGTCCTTTACGAGCCTCCTCCACAGAGGCCGATCTTGACACCGCTGGTACCAGTCATCGGCAAGTCCACTCAGCTCCACGTCCTCCTGTACCATATCACTCCATCTCTTCTCTAGCCCATGCCGCGCCTGTTTAGCACCCTCGATCCGGCTGAACAAAAGCTGTTTAGGCATGCGATGGCTGGGCATGTGGGCTACATGGCCCAGCCAATGCAGCCTTGCCTGCCGGAGGAGTTCACCAATGGGACTTTGCCCAGATCTTTCAAGGATTTGGGAGCTCCTCACACAATCCAGCCTGGTTAAACCCAGGATGGATCGTAGGCAGGCCAGCCTGAATGTTTCTAACCGGCGAAGATGCTCCATTAGGGGGGTCCACGTTTCACAAGCGTAGAGAAGGGAGGGAATGACCGTGGCCGAGAAGACCTGAAGCTTCGTGTGGAGCGACAGACCATGGAGCTTCCACACAGCGTTACGCAACCGATGAAAAGATATTGCCGCTAGACTGATTCGGAGTGAGACCTCCACTGCCAAACCGGAGCCGGTCATTAGCACACTGCCCAGGTATGGGAAACTATCCACTCTCTCCACAACTGCCCCATCACTGATTGGGAGTTGTGGGGGTGGAGTGTCCGATAGTACAAAATACCCAGGCAGGTGCTTAGTTTGGTGGGGCTGATGGGAAGGCCCCACCTCTTAGTAGCATGCTCCAGTTTCAGCAGCAGCGTCTACAACTCCTCCTCTGAATGAGCAGCAATTGCCAAATCATCGGCATATATAACATGGTTGACCAATAGGGAGCCATCCCTTGACCGCACCCGGGCATCGATCAGCCTCCCATTATATCTGTACCAAATGGAAGTTCCCCCGGTACAGCTATTGAAGGCTTCATGGACTACGTGGTCAAAATAAATGTTAAATAATGTGGGAGCCAGAGGACATCCCTTTCGCACACCCCAAGGTGTACAGCGAATGGCTCTGACTCCCGGCCACGTAGTTTGTACCCGGGCCCGCTCACCATCATGAAGGTCCTTAATGATCGTGAGCAGAGGGTCAGGGACTCCTAAAGCACGAAGAACAACCCAGAGCCCAGGCCTACTGATGATATCATAGGCCTTGACCAGGTCAATAAAAGCAGAGATGTAGGTCTTGTTGGAATTCTCTACACCTCTGCTATAGCAGACGGACAGAAAATATGGCATCTGTGCAGGACCGCCCTAGCAAGGCGATGTTGAATAATCATTGCCAGAACCTTTCCCGGCACACAGAGAGTGAGATGCCCCTGTAGTTGTTACAGTCTGTGCGGTCCCCCTTCTTAAAGAGGGGGACCACCAGGGCATCCTTCCAGTCCTGCTGAACCCGTCCAGTGGTCCAGACTGTTGTTATGATGTCATGTAGGGCAGTCTGTGCACAAACGCCACCCTCCCTCAGTATTTCGCTTGGGAGATCATCTCTGACCTGTGCCTTTCCTGGTCTCAGACTCTGGATCGCCTTCAGTACTTCCTCAGCAGATGGCACCTCAGCCAGCCACTCACAGGGGGTGACTTCTTCCAATATTTGATGCACCGCAGCCTCAGCAGGGTCATCCTCACTTTGTGCCATGATGTTTTCCTGGCTGAGGGATTTCCCCTCCCCCAGGACCTCACAGAAATGCGCAGCAAATCTGCAAACCTGTTCCTGGGGGTCGGAGATTGGATCACCGTTTTTTCCCCTAATGATAATAATAGGTGTGGCGTTGCAGGTTACTTTTTTTATGGAGTTCAATAGGGATTTGTGATCGCGGGCCACTGAGGCAAACTCTATCTTCTCAGCAACCCGTGACCACCACCCATCCTTGCAGCGCCTCACGGCTCTCCAAACCTCCGAGCGAAGGCTACGATAAGCCTCCTCATTCTCTGACGTGGGATGCTGTAGACGATTAGAGTGGGCCTGTCACTTTTTTTCAGCCATCCTGAATACCTCTGTTAGGCAGCGTCTCTGGGGAAGTCCGGACCGCGTACCCAAAACAGCCTTTGCAGCTGCATGAGTCACAGTCCTAAACCTCGCCCATTTACCCTCGACCTCAGGAGGAGTGGGGGACGATGCCAACCCCAGCCGCAAGCAATGATGAAATTATCAGCTAACTGAGACGAGGCCACCTTAGGTTGGAATGGGGTCCTGGGTGTACACCCACCACCGGAGTGGAAGAATGGCAGGCGCATCTTACAGATGACTAGTCGATGGTCAGAGGGCAGATCAGTTCCATGGTAGGTCCTGGTGTCCGGCAAAACAACCCCCTACCTCCTCGCGGTGCCGGACGAGCAACGCTTTCGTGTATAGTGCTGTGAGGGCGGAATGGCCAATTCCGATTGGCCTTTCTCCTCATGCCGTCTGTGACCACCACAGTGGCTAAATGGGGGCTCTGGACGGGTGCGAGGGGCTGGTAACTAACCCCTCCACCTTAAATAAATTACCACTAAACCACGACTGAAATACGCACACACACACGCATGCACACACGCACATGCACACACGCACATGCATACACATACACACACGCATACACACCTGCACGAATTCACGCACACAAAGAAAAAGATCCCCCATGAGCCTCAACACGCTGGAAGGGCAAGTGCTGTTCGTAGCGATTATCAGCAGTGCCTATATACACACATACGCACGTATTGCCTCGATAAACTGTTGGGGCAAGTGCTGTTAGCGAGCAGTGCCTATGAAGGCCATCACTGGCACACGAGCGAGTGGGTGGCCGCCATTATCTTCCCAATTGCGATTTTTGATTCACACCACACCAGGTTCTCATTTGAGGCTGAGTCGACCTAGAGCAGGCCCAGGACCGGTTGTTCAGATGATGTATGTGTAGTGTGATGTACAGAGGCACACAAACAATGGTGGAGGCAACACTTTTATTAAACAACTTTCCCAACGGGGTAACTCTAACCGCCTCAGGTTCTATAGTAAAGTGTGGCTACCCTATCGCTATGTGAGTGCGGGTTAACTATCGACTGGGTCAGTCAGCACACATGCTGCTGACCCACGATGCCGAGCCAAAGACCGGGGCTTCCCCTTTATTCCCCTGGCTGTGACAGGAAGTGTCACTACATATGTTTGTATGTAGAACTTATTTCGCTCCGTACGTAGCCAACTGTGCTGATCGGAGGTACGGGGGGAAGGACAACAAACTAAACACATAAAGCAATTCTAAAGGAATTAGTTTGTCAATCTAGATGATGATTTTAAAGTGGCATTATAGCTCCCAGTGGCTTCCTAATATCTGAAAGAAGAACGTTCCAGACGGCCGCAGAAGTGCATCTGAATGCGGTGACCTCCGTCTTTGTTCAGTGGCCAGCCAAAACATGCACCAACCATGCTCGTCACTATGCCAACTCTGAGTTTTATCCGCCCGACAGACAGAGCTTATGCCGTACCGCATTCCGGCCAGGACAGCCCGGCTCGTTGGCCGCATCAGGCACCGGCCACCCCGGAATTCGGCGATTAATCTACGGGTCAAGGCAACACATATCTCTTTAACCTAGATGGATCAACAATCCAGTGACGGCGAACGAATCGGATGCGCACGCACTGTGGCTGGCGGACCTCCACAACCTCAACGGGGCCCTGCCAAGGGCGATGTAATTTAGGGGATGTCCCAATGGGCACCTGGGAACAATGTAGCCAAGCTTTGTCCGCCTTCCTCCACGGAAGCCCGGAACCCTGGTGTTTCTGCAAGCACTCGTTAGCCACTTGTCGGTTGGCCGAATTATCCACAGCAGCTTCCCGTGCTTCACGCAATCTGTCAAACATGACCTTCATCGAAGTAGGCATGGCGGATCCCTTTTTAGACAAGCTTAAGCCCATTTGCACGTGCATCAGGGGTTCGGGCTCCCTCGCATGCATCAAATAAAATGGTGAAAACCTCGTTGAGGCATAAGGGGCCAACCTATATGCGGCGAGGACGCCCGGAATAAACAGGTCCCAGTCTGACTGATTCACATTCACCTGGTGGCACAGCATGGACGTGAGGGTGCGATTTAAGCACTCCACCATTCCATCGGTTTGAGGGTGGTAGGGCGAGGTACGAATTTTATTTGTACCGAGGAGGTCACAGACCTCCTTGAGCAGTCGAGAAAAAAAATTCTGACTCTCGTCGGTAAGAAGCTACTCAGGGGCACCCTTATCTAAAACGTAGCCATGCAAAAAGGCATCGGTGATAGACGAGGCTGACTGATCTTGTAAGGTACTCGACCCCGACCAAAAGATACCTGTGGCCCCGCTGAGAAGTTTGGAATGGGCCTAAAATGTCAAGGGCCACAAGTTTGTTTATGCGAGATACCTGTATGGACTGTAGCGGGGGCCGATCATGCACAACTGGAGGCTTCCGACGCGTGCAATTCTGGCAGCCTTTAACAAATAGCACCACGTCACTTTCCCTGCCCCGGCCATGGAAAGTGACGCGTAAGGAGGCCATCAAGCAGGGCAACGGCTTGGACGGTCGCCGGAGTAGAGACATGGTTGCTGGATTTAACACGGCGCCACAATTTCAACAGAGAGGTATCCTCAATCTGTAAGGGAGACCATTCATCGCGAGGGAGACCCAGGCCGGAATCCGTGGGCAGCGGCGCACCTCGAAGAGGAGCCACGTCGGCCGTCGCGACCAACTGGGGCATGGAGTCAACTGGAGCCCTGCAATGACTCGAGCCAGTCGTGCATGCGCACCTACTGTCCGGTTGCAGCCTAGATAAAGCGTCCGCATTTCCATGCTGTGCCCCGTTTCTGTGAATGACGTCGAACGCATAGTCCTGCAGCACATCCAGCCAGCGAGACAACTGACCCGAAGGCTGGTCTACGCGCAAGGGGTATTGTAAGGCGGCATGATCCGTCCGAACAGTGAACCACCTGCCATACAAGTAGGGCCTGTACAGTTGGACAAAGTACACAATGGCCAGCAGCTCCCTACGGGTCACACAATAGCGTTGCTGCGTGGAGGACAACACCCGACTGCCATATGCAACAACCCTTTCGGCGCCGTCGACCACCTGGGAGAGCACAGTCCCTATGCCTGTGTCACTGGCATCCGTGTCTAACACAAAGGGCAGCAAGAAGTCGAGGTAACCCAGGGGGCAGCGCATCAGCCAGGGAATCCCAGAGCGCAACAAACGCTTCCTCCTCCTCTGTGCCCGAGTGGAATTTTTGGCCCTTAGCGGACAGCGCATGGAGTGGCTTAGCAATAGTAGCGAAATTCCATACAAAGCCACGGTAATATGACGCGAAGCCCACAAAACTGCGCACCTCTGCAACAGATGTGGTAATCGGCCACGCATGGGCACAAGCCATTTTCTCTGGGTCTATAGCGACTCCTGACGCGCTGACCACATGGCCCAAACATTTTACGGACGACTGCAGAAAATGGCACTTTTGTGGTTTGAATTTGAGGTTAGCAGCACGCACTTTGACGAAGACTGATTCTAGATGCTGCAGATGTTCGTGAAATGTGTGGCTGAAAACGATAACGTCGTCCAGATATATCAGACAGGAATCCCACTGTTGTAGCGAAATTTTGAGACCATCTCCATGAGGCGTTGAAAAGTGGCCGGGGCCGAGTGGAGGCCCATAGAAAGCCGATTGAATTGGAACTGCCCCTGGGGTGTGCGGAAAGCAGTTTTCGGTTTGGAGTCCTCATCAAATGGCAACTGCCAGAAGCCCGAGAGGGTGTCAAGCAAATCGTCCATGCGGGGAAGTGGGTAGGCATCTGCCACTGCAATTTTGTTTAATTTACGAAAATCAACGCAGAATCGGAGACCCCCATCCCGTTTCCTGACCAACACAATGGGGGCTCCCGAAGGGCTATTAGAGGGAGAGATGATGTCCGCCGCCAACATCTCATCAACCGCCAAGCGGACATGATCTTTCTCTCTGGGGCTAAGGCGATGGGAGTTCAACTGAATAGGGGGCAAATTCCCCGTGTCAATGGGATCGGACAATAGGGACGTGCGTCCGATATCGAATTTACTATGGCTAGAAACATCGCCAAATCGTTTAATAAGTGCTCGAAGTCGCTGTTGCTCATCGGGGGATAAGAGCGAATTTTCCTGGCAAAGTCTGTCAATCCAGGAGTCATCCAAATTGTCATCCCTGACTATTCCAGCCCCAAAAACGTCAACTGGCGTGGCGTCTACTGCTGACTGAGCAGGGTTCGCATGCGCCAAAACGGTACCGGCCTGTATACCAACGTGCGAAAGACCCACGTTCAAAAGCTGCAAAAAGGGTTTCTGGTCCTTCGACACGACCGTCAGAGCACCCAACAAGGAGGAAGTCCGAGATAAATAGTTAGAGGGAGTTAAGAGGACTCCCGCCTCAGGCCTTTGCAATTGCAGGGGTTTGCGCAATCTCAGGGACACCAACATTTGGGAACCCGGAGGAATCTTAATCGAATCACAAGCCAGAGCTCGTACACAGGCTGCAACAGGAGTCAGTAAGGTGGGAGAGTTTAAAAAAACTCAATGGATGGCCCGACGGCATCTCCATACAACCTTGGTCAATTAGTATTTGAGGGGTATACTGGCCAAGAAATCTGTGCCTAAGAGGCCTAGCACGGACAACGTCTTCGAGACCAGACCGGGCCCTTCCAATTCAATGTCCCCAATTGTAATGGAGGCGACAATATGACCCAGTATCCCCAAACTGCCTCCGTTTGCGGTGTTGGCTGAACTCCCGCTGGGGGCATGGTCGAGGTTGGAGGTGTGGGTGCAGTAACAGGCTAGCGAGGGAGAGGCTAGCGGAATCCTTAGTGTGAGTGTGATAGGTTAGGGGAGAATAGACTAGCGGGATATTCAGTGAGAGGTTAGCAGGGTCAGAAGCTAGCGGAGTATACAGTAAGAGGCTAGCGGAGAACAGGCTAGCGGAGCCAGAGAGAGAGCATCCGTGACAGGCTAGCAGAGTGCGGAGTAAACAGGCTAGCAGAGCAAGGGAGAGTGAGCTCGGGAGTAGCAGGCTAGCGGAGTAAGAGAGGGAGAGTTCGCGAGAGGAGTACGTGATGTTGAACGTGAGGAGCACCCGTGGGGGATGCTTCGAATAAAGTGACAGGAGAATAAGAAGTTGTCCGCGTGAATAAACACCACTACACATACATAGTACATACATACAGACTACATATATACTGCATATATACGATGCACGTACCACATACTACATGCCTACAGACTACATACAAAGTACATACATACAGATTACATATGTACTTCCTACATATAATCTACACTACTATACACTACACTACTATACACTAGACTACTGCACATTAAACTACTGTGGTGGTTGTTACGTGGAGAAAGGCGGACAGAAACACAAGGGTGTCTGCACCCACACACGGGTGTCTCCATCCACATCCGCATCGGTTAACCCTGGGGGGCCATGGGGGCGCTGTGATCCCCCATAGCCCCACCCCTCGGAGAGGATTCCTATAAAAGGCGGGGAGCCAGAGGGCTCGGGGCCAGTGTGTTAGAAGCTTACCATTGAAGACTGAAGACCGGCAGAATAGGCCCTGGAACTCCCCTGGCTCGCTGTCCTTGTCAGGGCCGAGCAGGGCAAGCCAGTGGTGCGGCCCCAAGAGCTCCAGGACCGCTGCTCTTGTAAGAGCACGGCCTGGTTAGCTGGGTGCCGGGATCCGTGATTGACCAGGGCCGGATCAGATAGCCTCCCCTAGCACTCATAGCGGAGGACTGGGAATAGGACAGTCAGAGGATAGTGCTAGGGGTGTTTCCCATTGAGTACGGGTTAAGGGGCTGTTACCCCTTCAAGTATTGTTACCGCCTTTTGGTTAAATAAAAGAGTGTGCCTCAACTACGTCGTCTGTCTCCCTGGGAACTCACTACACTACTACACACATACATGTACTACTAGCTTTACTACCCTGCTTCGCCCGGGACTTGGATTCACGATGCCCGGCCTCCTTTATCTCCCCAGTGGCGATGTTCACACACCATACCGGTTACTCGTTTGAGGCTGAGTCGACCTAGGGGAGGCCCAGGACCGGTTCAAATAATCGTCACCGGTGGTAGCCATGAGCGGGAATCGAACTCGGGTCGCCGGGTTCGTAGTGCAGCGCGCTAACCACTACGCATGCGCGGGTTACATGACAGAGATGTCATGTAACCTGCACAGTCTGGAAAGTACCCACATGGCAAATTTCAAGTTCTTTGCATGTCGGGAAGTACGCTAAACATTTTGAATAGACACACATATTCACAACTTTGCCTTTCATATATATTGAAATATACTACACTACATACTATATACAGACTACATACACATACATACTACACAAATACGTAAAAAATACATACGTACAGACTGTGTAGAGTCCAGTGCTGAATCCGTGTACCCAACAGGAGGCGTTCTGGTGCCTGGTCCAGATCTGTGAGCACTACCTCCCTGGGTACTACAGCCCTGGACTGGTCAGCACTAACACCTGCACTAACACCAGCACTAGCACATGCACTAACACCAGCACTAGCACATGTGTAATGTTAGCATTTGCAGACACACTGTTAGGAGGCAACAACTTTTATTCACACAATGCTACACCGTTACACACCTAACCCACTTCGGACAGGGCTACGTCCACCTATCCTCTCTGCACAGGGTAACTATGTATCTGGTCAAAGCAGCCGTCATGCTGTTGACCTACTTCAGACGGGATAGCTGTCTCTGGCCAGAGCAGCCCTCGCGCTGTTGACCCACGATGTCGAAGAGCGTGGACCCAGGCGACGAGCAGGATTCTTTCTACCACTGAACAGCCTCGAACCTCGTTTGAGCCTTCCCTTCTATCCTCTAACGCCCCCGCTACCCCCGCTCCTCCCTTGACCGCCCCCCCCCCTCGGCCCGTCCAGCCAATTCCTGTTCCCCTGCACCTGTTCACCCATCCTGTCACGTGCTTAACCCGAGCCGGGGTGACTTGTCCTCACGTGCCCCTATACCTCATCCCGGCCCATCACGTGCATGGTACTGTACCCTGCTAGTTATCTCCACAACACGCACAGCGCAAAGCGCCGTAGTGATCCGTATAACGTCACTACACTTGTACTAGCACTTGCATCAAATACCTGCACTAACACCTGCACTAACACCTGCACTAACACCAGTACTAGCACCTGCACTAGCACCTGTACTAACACTAGCACCAGCATTTACACCTAGACTACCACAAGCATTAGCATCTACACTAACACCAGCACCAACATGTTGTAGTGTGCCAGTGTGTATGTGTGGTTGCTGAATGTGGTTGCTGCATGATTGTGGCTGCTGTATGATTGTGGTTGTGTGGTTGCTATGATTGTGGTTGTGTGGTTGCTATGATTGTGGTTGCTATATGATTGTGGTTGTGTAGTTGCTGTATGATTGTGGTTGTGTGGTTGCTGCAGGAGGCGGTGCAGCAGGACTGTGAGCTGCTGTCCCTGCTGCTGGCGCCCCGCCTGTCCCCGCACGCTCGCGTCCTGCTGCACCGCCTGCAGCTTCCACCGACGCTCATCCTGCCCGAGTGGCTGCTGTGCGCGTTCGCACGCACGCTGCCTGCACCTAGCCTGGCGCGCGTCTGGGACATGTTCCTGTGCGAAGGTGACACGCGGTGACACACGACGTTGAGACACAGTGACACACACTGACACACGACGCTGACACAGTGACATGCGGTGACACACTGACACACATCAGTGACGCATGGTGACACACGACGGTGACACGCGAAGTTGACACACACTGACACATGACGCTGACACGCAGTGACACGTGACAGTGACACACGGTGACCCACGGTGACACACGACGGTGACACGCGACGCTGACACACACTGACACATGACGCTGACACGCAGTGACACACGGTGACACACGGTGACACACGGTGACCCACGGTGACACACGGAGACACGCACTGGTGACATGCGGTTGTGTGCCACCATGTGTCACCGCTACCCCTGCTGCAGGCGTGAAGGTCCTGCTGCACATGGTGCTACTGCTGCTGCTTCTGCTGCTGCTGTTAATTATCCTGCTGCTGCTGCTGTTAATTATCCTGCTGCCTCTTCTGCTCCTGTCAATGCTCCTGCTGCGTCTGCTGCTGTTAATTATCCTGCTGCTGTTAATTATCCTGTTGCTTCTTCTGCTGCTGATGCTACTGCTGCTGATGCTACTGTTGCTGCTGTTAATTATCCTTCTGCTAATTATGCTGCTGTCAATGCTTTCTGCTGTTGCTGCTGCTGTTAATGATGCTGCTGCTGTCACTGCTACTGCTGCCAATGCTCCTGCTGCCAATGCTCCTGCTGCTGCTGTCACTGCTCTTGCTGCTGCTGTCAATCCTGCTACTACTGTCACAGCTACCGGTACCCCTGCTGCAGGCGTGAAAGTCCTGTTGCGGGTGGCGCTGGTGCTGCTGATCGGGACCTTCGAGGAGCTCGCTGCTGCTGCTGATGCCGGGAATGCCGCCGGGAACTCCGCTGGCACCGTCGGGAACGCCAGCGACGACCTGTACTCTGTGCTGCAGGCGCTGCGCTGCCCGTCGCGCCACAACACCCACCCATCGTCGCTCGTGCCGCAGGTGTGACTCAAGACTGCCGCTCCAGTCTAGATTACAGATTCTATACTGGATGTTTGTGTGTGTGATTGAAAAGCTTTGTAGATCACCAGATTATTCCAGTCTACATTACAGATTCTGATACTTGACGTGCGTGTGTGAGCGATTCAAGAGCTTTCTAGATTATCGGATGAGTTGTCATAGATACACCCATAAAGACCCACCACTGCCAACACCACACAGTGATAGCGATTATCTTACACCGGTCCGGGCCCCCCCCCCCTAGGTCGACTCCGCCTCAAGTGAGTACCTGGTGCGGTGTGATGTGTAGTAAACATCACCACTGGGGGAGACATAGGTGGGGAGGGCGTGGCGCTGTACCACCCACCCCCTCATGTGCCACATTGGCGGCTTTAATAGGCGCGGCGCTACCCACTACTAATAGCACTTGCCCCTACAGTAACTGCATGAGCTACCTGGGGAAGCTTTGTTTGTGAGCGAATGAATGTGTTAGGGAGTGAATGTGTGAGTGGGTGAGTATGTGAGTCTGTCTCTGGGACTGGGGGAGACAAAGGCGGCCGGGCGTGGTGCTGGCCACCCACCCCATCGTGTGCTGTTCTGGCCTTCATAGGTGCTCGTTAACAGCACTTGCCCCAATAGTCCTTTAAGGCTATATGGGGGTTATTTGTCTGTGTGTGTGTGTCTGTGTGCGTCTGTGTCTATTTGTGTGTGAGTGTACATAGGCATTGCTGCTCGCTACTAACAGCACTTGCCCCAACAGTCTGTTCAGGTGACACGGGGGATCTTTGTCTTTGTGTGTGTGTGTGTCTGTCTGTGTCCAGATGCTGTCCCTGTCTCTGTCCACACGGAGGCTTCGCCGTCTCCACCTCTCCGTGATCCGCGATCGGAGACGCAGACGGAATCAGGAAGCGGCGTGAGCACCCAAACCCAGAAACCCGGAACGCGAATCCAGGATTGGAATTCGGACTCCGGAACAGGACCATGAACCGAACCAGAATGATAACTGGAGACAGGTCTGGAACAGAATTGGGACCACAACCTGAACTGAAACAGGGATCCAGGACCACAACTGGTTCAAGGATCCGGATCCAGACTAGGACCAGGACCAAAACCAGAACCAGAACTGGAACCAGATCTGGAACAGAACCAGGACCACGACCCAAATAGAACCATGACCAGAACTAGAATCAGAATAGAATCGGGTCAGGACCACAACCCGGACCGGAACTGGGACCCAGATCTGGACCAGAACCAGGACCACAACCCGAACTGGAACCAGAACCGGGACCAGAACCAGGACCTGGGACCCAGAACTGTACCTGGGGGAACAAAAAAAAAAGGAGTGAACTCTTCTTCAGTTGGGCCCAAAAATCACACCTGGCGCTCATGGAACTGGGGATAAGACCCGGAGCCGGAGTCCGGAGTCGCAATCCGGAGTCCAGAGCCGGAGGTGGAGTCCAGAGTTCAGAGGTCAGAGTTCTGGAGCTGAGAATCCACATCCATGACCAAAACCTGGAACAAGGAACTGGGGCATTTGGGAGCCCCGGAGTACGATGTTGACCCGGTTTTGAGTCAGGGGCTGGGATTTGATCTCGGCCTGGGTCCGTTGGCTAGGAGATGTTGACTACCTCACTTGGTATGCAGGAGGTTTGCGGAATATAGACCGTGACCCCGACGATGCCTGCTGCTGTATATTTGGAGTCTGCGTCTCTCTCTGCCCTTGGAGATGTTAACTACCTTGCCTGGTATGCAGGAGGTCGTGGGTTCTGCTTCTGAAATACTCTAAATACCATGGTAGCTGGGAGATGTTGACGACCTTGCCTGGTATGCAGGAAGTCGTGGATTTGGTCCCGTGACCCTGACTATGCCTGCTGCTGTATATTTGAAACAACGGCAATCATTGCCAAGTCATCAATTCCCAAGGATGAGCAAAATACCTGATCAAACCAAGGACATAAAAACCACCAAGACTCTATGGGCAACCAAAGATTTAAAAACCTGATGTCCCATTAAGACCCATAGTTAGTACAATAGGCTCTGCCACATACAAATTAGCACAGTACGTAACAAAACAAATACAGCTCTACATCTGTAGGACCTCTTCATTCATCAAAAACTCTGAACATCTCATAAATATAATTAAAGATATTAAGCTTAACCCTAAAGATATTATCATAAGTTTTGATGTGACTTCTCTGTTCACGAGGGTTCCGGTCAACGAGTCAATAAAATTACTCGACACTGGTAATTAACGCAGGTTTAGCCAAATATATTCCACGACTAGCTGAACACTGTCTAAAGAACACCTACTTCTTGTGGAAAGGTGACTTCTGTAAACAAAAAATGGGCTCTTGTTTGTCTCCTGTGATAGCGAATTTGTACATGTGTAGTGAATAACTCGGAGACGATCAGACTTGGAGGCACTTCTTTATTAACAAGCACCATCGGGTTAACACTCTTAATAATTAGTCCGTCTATGATCAGCAACGCTACTCAGTCAGGACAGATGGTAGGCTGCCTGACTGGTGACGCCCCGAGATGGTGAAGACGGAGACGATGACAAGAAGGATGGTGAAGACAACGAGAAGAATGGTGAAGACGATGAGAAGAATGGTGATGAAGACTTCAGCAGCACGACAGTGATCCCACTCCAACAACATTCCCGAGGTCCCCTACAGGGGCCCCTCTTATACTGTTAGCATGGCCTGGCTCCGCCCCCGGCCATGCCTCCTTTCTGGAACTTACTAGCAGGTTCTTGGTGTGCCCCTTCTGTGACCTTTCTCCGAGATCCCCCTCAGGTGTATATCCTGGCCTGCTGACGTCAGGACTGCTGTAAGCCGCAGATCCCCTTCGCTGCCAGCAGCCAGCGCTATGCTACTACCCTTCGCCACTGCACTACTATTCTATGCCACTACACATGGAAGATTTTGAAACCAAAGCAATAGCTTCAAGCACACTAAAACCCTCTGCTTGGTTATATATGTGGATGACACATTGGTGGTCTGGTCTCAACTCGCAAAAACCCATCCATCCAGTTCACCATGGAAATGGAAGCTGACAGAACTCTACCATTTCTGGATATTCTGCTTGGACGGGGTTTCAATGGTAAAATGACATACAGCGTTTACCAAAAGAAAACACACACTGACACCTATCTGAATGCAGAGTCACACCATCACCCCGCACAGAAATCCGCTGTCATTAAGACGCTCATTCATCAGGCTAAGAAAGTGTCAAATGGTGATAGTCTGAGAAGTTAAATTAAACATGGTAAAGAAGCACTGCAATTGACCAGTTACAATAATGCACAAATCAACAGGGCATTGAATGTCAAAACCAAATCAAATAACACGAGCATTGAAACTGCCCAAGTAATTAAAACTATTAAAATACTGTACATTGTGGGAGTAACTGATCAACTAGCTAGATGTTTGGAAAAACAAGCATCCGAGTCAGATTTGGCACAATACATAAAATACAGAAATTAATATCTGGTACAAAAGATGTACTACCGAAACTATCAACAGAAGTTGTGTACCGGATTAATTGCACTTGTGGCAAATGTTATGTTGGGCAAACAGGATGAATGATCAGCACGATACTAAAAGAACACCAAATAAATATTAAATACTCCCAAATACAACTGTCAGCAGTCGCGAAACACGTGTGCCAACAAGGACACTCAATTCATTTAGATAATGTTGAAGTTCTGTGCAAAACAAGTTACTACTGGCCAAGACTAATTACCGAATCTGTTGAAATTGAAAGAAATGCAAATAAGTGTAACCGTTCGGATAGCTACCGACTTAGTGCTGCTTGGAAGCGAATCATAAAATAAGATATTGCTTAAATGCATGCCTATACAGTCCACCATACTTGAATAGGGATTACGGTTGGAAAGGCTATTTTAGTACACACAATGGACATGAAGTACAAGATTAATGGGCTTGCAGAATGCGCATGCATAATGTACGTTGATTTATTAATCCCCCCCCCCCCCCCCACTTCGCACAAGAAGAGCAACACACGTGTTGTCATCACATCTACACCTCCACAAATCTGGCCGTCGCCTGATGAAGCTAGTTGTAATTACTGGCAAAACGTCGTACTCAGATTGTAAATGTTGTGGCTTGGCTCTCCAACACACCGGTGTGCTGTACTAGTGACGAATTGGCATGTCCTGCTTACGTGACAACCCTTACTAATTGTGACGGCTTTAACGACACATATTTACGTGATCTAACCCCAAGAAAAACCTGTATTATGGATGTATGTTTGCGTCTCTTTCTCCCCGTGGAGATGCCTGCTGTTGTATATTTGGAGTCTGCTTCTCTCTCTCTCCCCGTGCTGGTCGCATGGATTTTTCTATGGGTCCTACAGTGTTTCCGATCTACATTTATAATCGATGCCACGCGTTTAGAGTATTTGCAATAAATATCCACGTGATGATGATATCAGCCACCTGGTTGAGCTGTGTGTGAATGAGACTGAGTGTTTATATGTATGTGTATGTTTAATTTTTTTCGCACCGTACGTAGCCAACCGCGCTAATTGTAGGTACAGGGGAAGGAACAACTAGAAGCAGTTCTAAAGAAGTGGGTTTGTCAATCTAGATGATTTTAAGGTAAATAGCTCCCAGCTGCTTCCTAATATCGGAAGGAAGAGCGTTCCAGACAGCCACAGAAGCAGCCCATCTGAAAGTGCTGCGCGATGCGGTGACCGTTTTTGTTCATTGGCGAGCCAAAAGTGTAGTGTATAGCAGTGTATAATGTAGTTTATAGTGTGTAGTGTGGGCCGGTGGTTGCCTCAATCACAGGGTGACATGATGCGCCTGGGGCTGCAATCATGATTAGCTTAGGTGCATGTCCACTTGCTTGCTTGCCTGCCAGCTGCTCTGCTTGCATGCTTGCTTGGTTGCCATGTTTTGTTACCCATGCTGATAAACTTTGCAGTTGGCTAGCCATCATGGTGAAAAAGAAACCTGAGTGCATAAGTCTTCCTTACCAGGACAGAGCCTCTCCATCAAAACTTTTACTGTGCCTCCCCGTTGGTAGTCCCGTGCCACCAGGCCAAACCAGTAGGGTATCTTGGAGCTGCAGTGGTCCCCAGAGGTATCTACAACTTGCCAACCACTGCCTCACTGCCTGGTGGGTAAACTTTGGCTAGGGCAGTAAACTCTGACTCCAAATCTGTGGTGGGTACCCGCAATGGCGCTATTCAATAAACCGGATCTACAGCAGTCCTCTACAGCTTTGGCCAGAAGAAGGTCGCCGTGAGCTGCTCATGCCATCAGAGTCTGGCTGGAGTGCAGATGGTGGGCGTATGAACTGTGCAATCCTACTCTCACCTTAATCCACTCACTGCGCAGGCTTCTAGCTCCAAACCCTCCCCCCCCCCTTTTTTTAAGCCCAGCGGCGACAGTGAATGGTGGAAGGTGCAGGTCAAGGATGTGGCCAGGAGCATCTAGCCAAACTCTGCACGTAGGCAGCGATGGGGTGTAGGTCGCCAAGACATGAGATGGGACAGCGTGCTGCTCACCACTGATGGAAAATTTGGTCTAATACTTGTCTTGCACTCACTCCGGGTGGTTAGCCGCTACCATTAGAGCATCCCATTCAGCGGCTGAAACTCAATGAAATCCAAGACTCGTTTACCCCTTCAAATTGCTTCATGGAACGTCCGAAAAAACTGACAGACTGCACGGAAGGACAGCCCTCGTGGCCCATGAACTCAGGAAATACAACACCGACATTGCAGCGCTCAGTGAAACCTGCTTCCATGGAGAAGACTCTTCACAGAGGTTGGTGAGGGTTATACCTTCTGGAAGGGTGTTCCGGAAGTTGTTCGCTGCCTGTGAAAACCTCCAGCGCGTCCCTGAATGTCTTGTTGGCATAAGTGAGCCGCTGATGACATGGCACATCCCCTTGGCTGGGGGACGCTCTGCCACGCTCATCAGTGCTTATTCTCTTACGCTGTATGCAGACGATGCCAAGGAGGCCTTCTATAAAGCTCTCGACACTGCCATTAAAAACACACCACATACCGACAAGCTACTCTTCATGGGAGAATTCAATGCCAGGGTGGGCTCCGAACACCACCTAGTGATCACCAACACCCTTTTCCAGTTGAAGGACAAATACAAAAACTCCTGGCAAAACCCCTGCTCCAAGCACTGTCACCTCCTAGATTACATTATTGTCCATCACTGTGACCAAAAGGATGTACTAGTGACCCAAACCCCCAAATAAGATGCTGAAATGTCATACCCTCAAAAACCCTACTGTCATGAACAACCTGCGGCGTCTCCTCTCCACCAAACACCCCCAACCCCCCCCCCCCCGGACTCCGTCCCCAACACCACATAGACTCAGCTGCGCACAGCCATCCTCGAGGTAGCCTCCATATCAGTCGGGTACACCAAAAAGCGTCAGCAAGACCGGTTGAACGAGAATACTGCCGACAACCACACACTCCTGCAGAACAAACGCCAAGCCCACAAAGCCGTCCTGTCCAACCCACACTTCCCCACTCTCCAATCCTCCCTCTCCCAGGCCAAAGCAGAGTCTCAGTGTGATCGCTGTACCATGGAGGACACCTGGTGGGTCCAAAAGGCAGATCAGATCCAAAGCCTCTTGGACAAAAACAACACCCCACAGTTTTATGATGCCATCAAAGCCCTCTATGGCCCCTAAAAACAAGCCATCACCTCGGCCAGGTCTGCTGATGGCAACACGCTTTTCAAGTACTGCCAACATATCTTGGAGATATGGTCAGAGTATTTTGATAGCCTCATCAACCACACGAACCCTGCAGACCTACTCATCCTAGACACACTCCCAGATATCCCGCCCATTCATGAACTCGTGACCCCATCACAGTTTTCTGAGGTCCACCAGGCGGTCAAAGGCCTGAAAAATACCAAAAGGGCTGGACCTGAAGGCATCCCAGCTGAAGCCTTGAAAAACGGAGGATACCTTCTCCATCACCACTTGTACATTCTCATCAAGTTCATCTGGCTGTCCGAAACCATCCCGCATGAATGGAAGAATGCAAATGTAGTTAGCTACAAGAATACGGGTGACAAGTGGCTTGTGGCAACAGCAGATGTATCTCCCTCATTTAAGTCGCCAGGAGGGTCCTTGCCAGGATAATGTTCTACCGGCTCGCAGAGCACCTGTATGAAAACATTATCCCAGCATCCCAGTGCGGCTTCAGGAAAGGCAGGAGCACCACCGACGTAATCTTTGTGGCAAAGCAACTGCAGAAAAAATGTCAGGAGCAAAACAAAGACATCTTCATCGCTTTTATTAACATCACCAGAGTATTCAACACCAACTGCGAGACACTGGCAGCAGCTCAAACTTGGGGTGCCTCCCAAGTTTCTGAGTATTCTAAAACAGTTAAGAGAAAGAAAGCACTACAAGAGTGGTGCTTTGTGTGTAACGTCAAGCAAGGTTGTGTTCTGGTTCCAGTCATATTCAACATGATCCTTGCTGCTGTCACAAGCCTGGCACACAACTCCCACAGCTCAATCAACGGACTCCAGCTACAGTACCGTCTGGATGAAAAACTCTTCAACTTAAGTCCACACAAAAACGAGAACCCAACCCGAAACGTCGTGAGAATTGTTTTATTATGTTTTATTTTTATTATTTTATTACTTCCCTTCTACGTGACTTTACCGAAAGAAACAAGAAGATGAATCCCTGCAGTCACGAAAGCTTTAAATCGAAAAAGATCTCTGAACTGCAATATGTAGACGACTGTGCACTCCTGGCTCACATCCCATAATCCATGTAACACACCCTCAACCTGGTATCCTCCTTCTACTGCTCTGTCGGCTTCCAAGTCAATACTCAGAAGACAGAAATAATTCTCAACTCTCATCCGCGTCCCCCTCACTCCACACTTTCAACATCAGTAGTCTATCCCCCAAATTGGTACCCCATTTCACCTAACCCGGCTCTGCGCTCTCCCTATGTGCCCCCCCTATGTGCCCCCATGACGACGAAACCCACACTCGCTTCAATAGAGCCTCCGCTTCCTTTGGACGCCTCCGGGTCAGGGTCTTCGAAAATCATAACCTCAAGACCCACACCAAGATGGCAGTTCACAACGCCATTTGTGTCCCTATCCTGCTTTACAGCTCAGAGACCTCGACCCCATATAGGTGGCACATCAACATCCTGGAAGCCATCCACATCAGATGCCTCCAGCGCATCCTAAGGCTAACCTGGGAAATCAAAGTACCCCAACGCCAAATCGTCCTGCATTGAGGCAAGCATGGCTAAACGACACCTCCGCTGGCGTGGCCACGTGATCCGCATGCCTGATCACCACCTCCCTCCGTCAAGTTCGCTATGGCCAACTCAGCGCAGCCAAATGCTCTGCTGGAGGACAAAAATAGCGCTTCAAGGACCATAGCAAGGACCTGCTGAAGCGCTGTAACATCAACCCCTCCAGCCTATAACCCCTGGGGCTGGACAGGTCTCCCTGGCAGTCCACCTGTGCCAGAAGGATTCAGCACTTGGAAGACGCCTTCTCACAGAGGAAATACGAGAGACGCACCCAGAGACACCAACACGCAGCTGGGATAACGCCATCCGACACCCAACAGACGCCGCATGTCCCATCTGCAGTAGAATGTGCGGCTCTGGCATCGGCCTCCACACCTACATGAAGTGGCATGAGCACCAAAAGCGCTTAGCCACATATACACCCCATAAACAAGTGGAGCGGCGTCATCATTGTCTTTGATGGACAGCCAAGAGAAAGCGGAACGTGTTTAGTAGTGTATATCAGTGTAGTATGTAGTAGTGTAGTTTAGAGTAGTTTAGTCTGTAGTAGTGTATAATGTATTGTATAGTAGTGTAGTGTATAGTCGTATATAGTGTAGTTTAGTGTGTAGTGTATCGTCGTGTATAGTATACTGACAGTCCTCGACTTACGAACGCCTGACTTAGTGAAGTGCTTACAAACCAGCTTCCATTAGATACAAAAAGAAATAGCATTGACTTTAGAACACGAACTTGCAATTGCACAAACTGAACCACGGAATTATTTTGTTCAGAGGAGTGGTCATCTGCGAGATGTCGTGATTCGGCCTCGCGCTAGTAGTGAATGTTTGCGTGTGTGTACGTGTGTTTGTGTCAGTGTGTGCGTGGAGGGAAGGCCAATTCCAAAATCAGCTATACCCCATTCATGGTGCTTGTAGCCAAAACAGCGGCTAAACAGGGGTTCTGGACAGGTGCGAAGGGCTGGTAACCCCTCCAAATTCAATTATTGATCACACACCCACGTGAAAAATATTGAATATAGCTTCTGCTGGAGGCCACGGGGGCACAGACGTCTTTGACGTCTCCTGGCCAACCCTCATTTGGCGGAGCCAGGAGACTGAATCCTTATCCTCGGGATTCCTCCAG